CAGAGCCCGCCACCCGCGCCTCTCGCGACGCCGGCCACCACCGACGCGACGCGACCCGGCCGGGAGTGCCCGACCAACGCCGCCGCCGCCGCCGCCGCGTGGTGCCGGTGCCAGTCGGCGCCGTCGGCCTCGGCGGCGTCCTGCGGCGCCGCTGGCGCCGGCGTCGGGGTATCTGCCGACCCGGGCCGATCCAAACCCAGGCCAGCTGCGCGACTCTGCAGGAGCCTCCTCCCTCCTCCTCCCTCCTCCTCCCTCCTCCTCCTCCTCCTCCTTCCTCCTCCCTCCCTCCTCCTCCCTCCTCCTCCCTCCTCCTCCCTCCTCCTCCCTCCTCCTCCCTCCTCCTCCCTCCTCCTCCTCCCTCCTCCTCCCTCCTCCTCCCTGCAGGATCCTGCACCCAGGCCCTGGTCAGCGCGGCCCTGGCTCTGCGGGAACCTGCAAGCTCCAGCGCTCGGACTGACCGCCGTTTGCACTGGACCCCGTCTCTCGGGTCGGGCGAAAGGGGGGGATAGCAAAGGCGGTGTTTGAGAATCAGCTCACGTAGCTGATTTTCCCAGCGCCTCCCGGCGCCGGAGGCGGCTATGTATCAAGGAATGGGCCCCTCGGCGAGGCCGAAACCAGCTGCATGCAGCAGATTTCGTAACCCCCCCTTTCCCAATCCCCCCCTTTCGTTCGGCCTGAGCCTCTCGAGCCCCGACGGCGCTCCGCTGCCTCGCTGCCCGGCGGAGGCGGCCGCCGAACTCCGGAGGCCCCCGCGGAGGCCCCCCGCCACGAGGGCGCCTGTGGGGGGCGGCGGCGCGCTCGCGGGCGGCGCCGGGCGCTAGGTGCGCTCGCACGGCCCGGCGCAGAGGAGGACCTCCGCCGCGTCCTCGAACAGCGCCCTTTCGCGGCGGGGGAGGGGGGCCGGTGCTGCATCGGAGTGCGCGCCCTCCTGGTCAGGCCGGGAGGGCATGCAGTCCAGCTGCCACCATCGGGACATGCTGAGTGAGCAATTGGAGCCCCGTCTGGGTCCCAGAGGCGCCCGGTGAGTGCACGCGGAGCGCGAGGGAAGCAGCCCTGGAAGGAGCGAAGGAACGGCGGGCCCCTTCCGAACCCGAGTTGCTTCTCATTCCAGCGTCTTCACTGTATGCACCGATCCTGGGTCCAGTGTCGGCCTGGCCAGGACCGATGTGCGGTGCGAAGTTGAAACCCTCCGAATCAGTGAAGCCGCCGTCATCGGCGTCGTCGATGGCGACGGCATCCGCGCCGTCGTCGTCGCAGTCGTCATCGTCTTCGAGGTTCGGGTGCCCCATGGCGTCAGAAGCGGAAGACCCGTCCCCTCCCACTGCCCCACGGCGAGGGCGAAGGACGAGGGGGAGGGAGGGAATGAGGAGCGAGGAAGAGGATGGACCTGGGCCTCTGGCGTCGCGAAAAAATCGAGACGACGTTCTCTGGAGACGACGTTCTCTGGGGGGGGGGCCGTCGACGTCAGTCCCCAAAAAAACCTAAACAACTGCTGTTGAAGTTTGTATACGGTCGAGGCGCTAAAGTAAGCACCACTCTGGGCTCAGGAGGGGCTTCGATGTCTGGGACGTTCCTTAGATTCGGGGAGGAGGAGCAGGAGGAGGAGGAGGCGGAGGAGGATGAGGAGGAGGAAGAGGAGGAGGAGGAGAAGAAGGAGGAGTACGAGGAGAAGGAGGAGGGAAAGAGGAGGAGGAGGAGGGGGAGGAGGGAACGAGGAGGAGGAGGAGGGAACGAGAAGGAGGAGGAGGAGGAGGAGGAGGAGGAGGAGGGAACGACGAGGAGGAGGAGGAGGAGGAGGAGGAGGAGGAGGAGGGAACGAGGAGGAGGAGGAGGGAACCTACTCGGGACCGAGGCGCGCCGTGGCCAGAAGAGCCCCCTCGCTCCTTGGCGGTACTCCTCTGTCTCCTGCCCGCCGAGCGCCGACGACGGCCCCGGCTCCCGAGGTCGCCCCCAGGGCGGCCGTCTCCGTCCCCGCGCGGGGCCCGAGCGGCCCCCGAGAGGAGGCACCACGCTGAGCCCCACGGAGAAGCGCGAGCGAACCCCCCGGGGAGCCCTGGATGGCCCTCGGGGCCCCCCTCGAGACCGCCGGCAGGCCCCCCAGGGCGCGCCCGAGAGAGGCGCCCCGACCCCCAACCGCAGCACCACCACCCCCCCGGAGATCCCGAGGGGCCTCCAGGAGAGGCCCCTGGCCCGCCCGACGGACGGACCGACGGCCGCTGCTGGCACTTGCGCACGGGCTGGTGCCATGGCCTCTGGCTGCACAGTGCGAGCTCGCCCACGAGAAGCCTTCCACCAAGCCTGAGACCCCAGGACGTACATGGACTCTTGGTGTGGGAACGTCACGCTCGCCCTAGCAAAACCATCGAAGCCCAAGAAACCCGGGGTACCCTGGAGGCAAGCAGCGTGCTTCTTGGCATGAGTTTCCACTGTATGAGCAGGCTGTTTGGGACAGAGCTCGAGCTAAGTAGTGTTCTCCGTTTTCGTTGTGCACCCGTTTTTCCTCGTTCTGTCTTCGTTCCGCCTTTGCCGCAAAAGGACCTCAAAACGAAAACGGTCCACGAGATCGCCAAAACAGCATGTGCCTTTTGGTCGGGCACCTCCTCCTACAGGCGGATTTTGGACGAAACTCCGAAAATACTCAAAAGATACCCAAAGAGTACTCCAAAAGTCGTCCCCAGACTATTTGTTGAGACGTTCTTGCTGAGGGACGCGCCCGACTGACATTCACCTCGCGCTCTGCCTTGGGCTCCGCGCCCCGGGACCTGGCGAAGAACACGTCCCCGTCCGGCGCGCCCCTCTCCGCGTACAGCTCGGTCACGCCCACGCTGCCCTGCCCCGCCGCACGCCGGGAGCGGCCCCCGGGCAGGAGTGGCCCCGGGGTGCACGGCCTGCCCGATCGCTGCGCGCGGTGCGGCAGTGGCGCCCCGCACGCCTGGGCCTGCACCCCCGCCCGGCTCGCGGCGCCCCGAAGGCTTCGCACGCCAGGGGTCTCCGGCGGCCGCTCGGGACGGTCCGGGCACCCCTAGAGCGCCCTCGGCGAGGCGCGGCTGCTGGAGAGCGCACCCCGAGGCAGGAAGAGCGTCAGAAGCTGGCGTGAGCGTCCGAAAACATATCCTGCGCGAGATCGTTTCTGCCTGTTCTGGGTTGCGGTCGTTACCCGAGGGGAGGGGGGCTTGATGGGCCTGTTTCCCACCACCACCACCACCACCACCATAAGTTGGAGAGGGGGAGGGGGTCCTCCTCCTCATCCTCTTCTTCCTCCTCTTCTTCCTCCACCTCCTTTCGCCCTCCAGTGTGTGTGGGTGCCCCCCCTTCGCACGATCGCTAGACCGCTGCCGAGGGGGGGGGGAGAGATGGGCCCGGCCCCGGCCGACGACCGCGGCGCGCCGACGCAGGAAGAGAAACGACCTCCGTACGGCGGGCCTTCACCCAGCGGGACAGCCCCGTGTCGGCGAGGATGAGCCTGCCGCCGCAGCGGGTCCGGGGCCGCCCCCGCGGCGTCGGCGTGTGGCCCACCACCGCGCGCCGGGCGCCCCAGGCGCCCAGGCTCTCCGCCAGCCGCGCGCAGTACTCGGCCTCCGGCTGCCGCTGGTAGTCCCGGTCCCAGAGCGGGCCGGGGACCCGCCTCGGGAGGGAGCGCGGCACACCCACGCTGCGGGTCCTCCTCTTTTTGCGCGCAGTGCTCCGCCCAGGCGCCCAAAACAGCCGGGCGTGACTGGACAGGGCACGCCGCGAAGAGGGCACGAGGCCCTTCCCCGAGGGGCCACACTGCCGCAGGGACGCAGGAGGCACTGCGTCGCGAGACACAGGACACGAGGGTACCCTTGATCTGGCAGGGTCGACCCACTAATCTGGGCCGCCTGTACACGCTGGGTGCTCCGCACTCGGCGAGCATCCTGCGCGGTTGGGTGGCATGTGCTGGAGGGCCGTTTCGCCCGACCCTGCTTGGCGCGTGCGCCCCTGCGCTGCTCAGCGTGGCAGCGGCTTCGGCTTCGCAGGGCCCAGAATCACACACACGCTAAGAATGGGACCATGGACGTAAACCAGAAGCCTCCCAGATGGAGTCAGAGCACGTGAGGCCGGAGGATCGTACTGCATCGCCGATGCATCACCGATGCGTCGGCGATGCATGAGCGACGTCGGCGATGCATCGGCGACGTCGGCGTGGAGAAACTCGGGATCCACATCGAGCCGCATCGCTGGTGCATCAGCGATGCGGCGGGATCCTCCGACCCCACCTGCTCGGACCCCATCCGGGAGACCTAGATCTCGGGAGGGCAAAAGCGCGATGAGTGCTCAAGCGGACCGTCTGAGGTCCTCGTGGCCCAGGTCGGCGCTGGAGACTTGGCGGTCGTCCAGCACCGCCCCGGGCGCGGAGCCAAAAGATCCGCGCGGTCCTCCAAACAAAAACGTTGGTTTCTGCCGCGGGCTTCTGCTTCTGAAGGGGCCCTGGGACACACAAATAAATACACAAAAATAAAAATATTCCCCACATATTTTCCAATATTTTCTGGGTTTTTGTCTTCCCCCCCACTTCCCATATTTTCCCATATTTTCTGGGGAACCGCCGATTGATTGTGTCTGTGTGTTTCTTTCCCTCCCGAGCTTCGGCGCCTGCCATCGACCGCGGCGTACCGCAGCAGCGGCGACCGCCGCTCCTCCAGGAGCAGCCGCCTTCGGCGACACGCCAACTGGCCATCGCTCGGACGTCCATTCCCTGTGTTTTTTTCGGTTTCGCGCGTGGATTTTTCGCCGAATGATAAAGGATGCTCCTCGATGGTCCTCGACGAAGGAAAAATACACACGTCCGAGCGATGCCAAGCCAAGGGGTGGCCCCGGGCAGGAGCGAGCGGCTCGAGACGGGGCGCGTGGGGGGCCCAATCCGAGCGAGCCAGCCCGTGCTGGGAGGGACCCCGTCGTGCGCCCGCGCCAAGAGGTCACCCCAGCGAGGGGTGGCTCTTTCTGGCAGCCGATGCCTGACGGCGGCGTTCAGCGCCTCGGGGCCGGCGTAGGAGGCGTTGTGGATCCAGAAGGGGTGGAGCCCGCCGTGGACGAAGAGAGTCCTGCGCCTCAGAGCCGAGGCCACGTGCAGCGATGCGACCGTGTGGCCGAGGCTGCCCTTGCTGCCCGCGGAGAACATGCTGGTCCAGGCCGTCGGGCCGCCGTGCTGGCGCAGCTCCGCCTTGCTCACGTAACGGAGGTCTCCCTGCATGTTCATGACCTCGTGGTTGCCCAGCAGCAGCACCACGGCCCCGCCCGACTCCGACGCCTCGTCGGCCAGCCGATGCAGGAGATGGTAGCACGCGGTCGAGTTCGGGCCACGATCGACCACATCTCCCATCTGTACCAGCGTGTCAGAGCCCGCGGCCCACTTGCCGTCCGTCCCCACTACACCCGCCAGCCGCAGCGCACGGAGCATGGACCAGGAGGGCAGAGAATTCGAATAGGGGATCGACTACAAAATTGATTTACCCAAAATCTTCGCAGAATGTTCGTAGATCTGCGAACATCATACGGAGTTTTCGTAGACTCGACGAGAAAATCAGCTCTGGGGTAAATCAACTCTGTAGCCGATCCCCTACTCGACGAACAGCGCAGACGTTGAACTTCATACGTCCGCCAGGACGGCTTCTCCGCCTGCGCCGACCCCCTCCCCACACCCCGCCCTGGCGCGCGAAGCGCAATGGAGGGCGGCGCCGAAGGCGCCGCCCGAGGTTACGCGGGTGAGGACTGGCGCCAGCTGAGCAAACGCCCACAGAGGTCCGACGTGTACGCTCGCGCACATTCAGCGTTGCCGTAAGGAAGGCCAAAAAGGGAACGAAGCCCCTCGTCGGCTCCAGAAGTGCCCGAGTGCGCAAAGGGCGCCCAGGGAACAACCATGGAGGGACCTGAGGAACGGCGAGCCCATTCCGAACACAAACAGCTCCTTATTCCAGCGCCTCGACTGTGTGCATATCTGCATATCTAGGGGAACGAAAAATTACATAAGCATCAAAATTCGGAGATCCGCGCGGATTTCTTGGATCCGCGCGGAGCGCGCCAGGGGCGGCGCCAGAGGCGCCGCCAGGGGGGCTCGGCGCGGATCCCAGAAGCCCGCGCGGACCTTCGAGTTTGTATGTCTTTGTGATTGTTCGTTCCCCTGATATCGGGCCTCCCGGAGATGTTCTGCAGGTCCCCGTGCACGTCCCCGAGCACCACCGTCCGCTCGTGGCCGCCCCGGTCGGGCACGAAGCCCTCTCCGACGGGGGCGCCTTGGGCGGGCGTGGCGGCGGGCGGCGGCGACGGCGGCGGCGGCGGCGGCGGGAACTGACCGAGGTTCCCCGGAGGCCCCCCGAGCTCCGGACGGGCTCGCGGAGATGGGCCAGAGACGCCAGGAGCCTGGAGCCTCGAGCCTCGAGCCTCGCTCGAGCCTCGACCCGCGCACCTCGAAACTCGACCCGATCCTCGCGCCTTGAGCCCCGAGCCTCGACACTCGCACCCCTTGCACCCTCGCACCCTCTCACGAAGCAGTGATGACGCGCTGCCTTCGATATTCCCCACGTGCCGATCAACACGAAGAAGGTCTGACTAGGGAGGGTCACGATGTGTACCTGCTCTCTGGCCCTCCGCGCACTCGGAGCCCTCGAGCCCTAGCCCTCGGAGCCCTCGGGGCCCCTCGGAGAGGAGGAGGAGGAGGAGGAGGAGGAGGAGGAGGAGGAGGAGGAGGAGGAGGAGGAGGAGGAGCGGAGGAGGAGGCGGAGGAGGAGGAGGAGGAGGAGGCGGAGGAGGAGGAGGAGGAGGCGGAGGAGGAGGAGGCGGCGGAGGAGGAGCCAGACGCCACGATCATCCAATCTAGGTCCGCGCAACGTCGAAAAAAGGAGGAGCCTCCGCCCTCCGCGCCGCGGCGCGCGAGGAGCACCGCGGCCGCGGCTGCCGCCAGCGCCCCCAGGGCGGCCGCGACTGCGCCGCACGGGGCACCGCGGGGGCGGCTGCGCGGGTGGCCGCCCGGGTGGCCGCCTCGGGCGCCTCGCGCGGCGACTACGACACGACGACGACGACGACGACGACGACGACGACGACGACGACGACGACGACGACGACGACGACGACGACACGGCGGCGGCGGCGGCGACGGCGGCGGCGGCGGCGGCGGCGGCGGCGGCGGCCGCGGCGGCGGCGGGGTCGGCGGCGGCGGCGGCCGTAGCGGCAGCGTCCGTAGCGGCGGCGTCCGTAGCAGCGGCGGCGGCGGCGGCCGCTCCTCTGGCGCCTCGGGCGCAGAGCCTGCGTCGACGCCTGGGAGGCTCTGGGGCGCCTCTCGCAAGGGTTCTGGTGCGCCCCCAGGGATTGCGGTGGCCAGAAGGTACCGCAGGACAGGTCTGGGGGGCGACTGCTGCAAGGAGGAGGAAGGGAGGGGAAGAACGTCGGGAAGAATTGCGGTGCCTGGGTCGAGGAGGAAGACGCGCAATGTCGGAGCAACTTTTCACCTCGGAACTGGAGTAAGGCGAAATCCGCACTAAGGCCAGAATCACCGCAGCAACCTGCACGTGATTGGTCGAGAAACAGGTGCCACTGTCAACGAGACAGTAAGTCGGGGCGATATTGTCGGCTGGCTACCCAGAGACAGCGATCAAGGCAGCGACGACCACAGTGATAGTTGAGCTTCAGCCTCATTTGGGTGAGAAGGGGATTGGGAATGGGAAAAGGGAAGAAGTGGGGGCGTGACTCCCCCTCCTCCTCCTCCTCCTCCTCCTCCTCCTCCTCCTCCTCCTCCTCAGCCTCCTTGTCCTCTTCCCCATTCCATCAACAGAAATTTGGGCTCAAGCCGTGTCGCGCTGAGGGGAGTGCAGCACGAACATGCTTCGGCACGGCGTGCCCGTGCGAGCCAATCTCGACGGGGTGGACGCAGCGGCTGCTGGGCCTGCCACTGCGTCAGTGGAGGCCTCATGCCGCGCAGGAGTCGCGCCACCTCTGCCTGGGCCCCCCGAGGAGGAGGCAAGGGCACAGAGGCGGGACGAGCGGCTCGCGGACGCGCGCCTGCAGCTGCGGGCAGACCTCAAAGGGGAGGCCGAGGCGTTCCAGAGCAACGTCATCGAGGAGGGGTGCTGCGGAAGCTGGAGCCGATCGCGGTAGAGGCGCTTCCGCTGGCGGTGCACCACGAGTTGGCGGGGCGACCGCCCGCCTCGGTGCAGGCGAGGAGCGAGCCGGCCGCGCGGCCCTCCGAGTCCCCCGCGGGCCGCTGCAGGAGCCGCGGCCCACCCGGGGAGCTCGCCGCCGCGGTCGACGGGCAGGCTGCCGCGCGGCCGCAGTGCGAGCGGAGGGCGCCGCACGCGCGCACGGCTGGGGCCGGCGGGCCCATCCGGCGTTAGGAGGCAACTACAGCAAGGGTTTCGCAAGGAGGATGAAGCCCCGTTTGGGAGATGTTGCGCCGGAATGGGCCTCGGACTAAGCAGGATCAGGCCGGATGAAGCAGGATGAAGCGGGATTAAGGCGGATTAGGCGGGATTAAGCGGGATGAAGCCGGATTAAGCGGGATTTCGGACCAGGGCTAAATCAGAATTTGACCTCCCAGGAGTTGCATCCGAACCGGCGGTGAGCTGCGGGGGGGCCGAGCAGAAGAGGAGGTCGCTGGACACGGCTCCCAAGGCGTCGGCCGTCGGCTCGCAGCAGGGGTCGCCGGGCCCGGTGCCGCTCAGCCGCAGTGCGGGTCGGAGCCCACGTGCGCGCAAGTGCCATGGCGGCTGGGCTGCGCCGATGCAGAGAACACAGGAATCGCTGGGGCGGCTTGCACTGCGCCCGCGGTGCCGCAGCCGCAGCCGCACGGCGGTGTCGCGAGCGGTGGCGGAGGATGCGGAGGAGAAGCGCCATACTTCTTGCACTCCGTCACGGTCTGGTGGCACGGCCAGGTCCGCCAGCTCGGGTGCTGGACCTCCAACGGAAATCACGGCACCATGGGTGGTGGACGCGATGCGCAGGGCGAAGGGCATGACTCTGTCCACGGGCACGTCCCTCCCGTCCGAGAGTGCGGCAAGGCAGCGCCTGCGGCCCAAGAAGCAGCAGAGCGCACCGAATTAGGCTGAAGGAATGGAGGGGGCCGCGGAAGGAGCGAGCGCCGTGTGGCTCCTTGACGTGCGGCTGCCTGGTGGAGGGCCTCGCGCCGCTGGATGCCCAGGAGCGCGAGGACACTTCTGGGGGCCCTTTCGGCAAACGGGTCACTGGTATGGCTTCCCGTGGCCCGTGGCCCGCGCCCACGGTCCTATAGAGAACGTTTGGCCCGCGCCCACGGCCCGCGGCGGGGCCAAAGGCTTCGTCGAGGAGAGCTCGGAGGTCGGGGGGAGTCCTCGAGCAGGACTCCGGCCTTCGCTCGGAGTGCGCCTGCGGCACCGAGGAAACTTGGGCGGGCCTCTGGTGACCTTAGGGGAACGAACACTGACATAAACATACAAACTCGATGCTCCGCGCGGATTTCTCGGATCCGCGCAGGACTCCCCTGGCGGCGCCTCCGGCGCCGCCCCCGGCGCCAGCGCGGACCCGAGAAATCCGCGCGGACCTCCGAGTTTTTATGTTTATGTCAGTGTTCGTTCCCCTAGACCTCGCGCGGCCGCTGGGCGGACGAGGGGACTCCCCTCGAAGAGCTGGCCTTCGTGGAGTTCCTGGCCGCGCCGAGGCGGAGGCACCCTGCCAGGAGTGCTCCGAGGCGCCGGCGCGGTCACTCGCGCCAGGGGTGGCGGCTCGCCTGCTCGCGCGAGGCCCACGCGTCCGGGCCGAGCTGGACGCAGGTCGGCTCCCGCAGCAGCGGGGCACCGCGCTCTCCCTCCCTCCCCCTCTCCCTCCCTCCCTCCTCCCTCCTCCTCCTCCCTCCCTCCTCCCTCCTCCTCCCTCCCTCCCTCCTCCCTCCCTCCTCCTCCCTCCCTCCTCCCTCCCTCCTCCTCCCTCCTCCTCCATCCTCCCTCCTCCTCCCTCCGGCTGCGGACGCTCCCGGCCAGAGCACGGAGGAGGCGCCGCGGAGGGCGAGCTCGAGAGCGTCGCCGCCCTTGCCCGTTTGCTGGCGGATCGCCTCCAAGCGGGAGCGCTGCCTGCTGACCTCCCGAAGGAGTGGGGGGTTATCCTGGCGGCGTCCAGCCGGTACAGCTTCGCGGGAATGACGGTGCCCATAGGCAAGGCGCTGTGCGAGGAGCTGTGCGCGCTGCTCTGAGGCCGACGCCGCAGCGGGAAGTTCCCAGGGGCTGAGGCGCTCTAGGTGCCCGCTCGGGCCGGCCTTGTGGACTTCTACCCCATCACCTCCTCCTTTCTGGAGTTGCGCACCTGCTCCCCATTCCCACTCCCCCTCGAGGAGGAGGAGGAGGAGGAGGAGGAGGAGGAGGAGGAGGAGGAGGAGGAGGACAGAGCAGGTCTGAGGAGGGGGAGGGGGAGGGGGAGGGGGAGTAGGCAATAGAGCAGAACGCGAAGGACGAGGGGATTGGCCGAATCGTAACTATCGCGGTGGTTCCAGCTGCGCCTGACATGAGCTAGCCACCTGCACTCCATGCAGTCGACGAAAAGAAAAAACAGCACTCGGCCATCGATGGCTCCGCACCGACAACTCAGCCGCACAGGAGGAGGAGGAGGAGGAGGAGGAGGAGGAGGAGGAGGAGGAGGAGGAGGAGGAGGAGGAGGGGGGGGGAGGAGGCAGGAGGAGGAGGAGGAGGAGGAGGAGGAGGAGGAGGAGGAGGGGGAGGAGCAGGGGGAGCAGGGAAGGGTCGGAGCATGGAGGGAGGCGGGAGCCTTCGCTCCCGAGGCTTGCCTCGGAAAGGAAGAGGACTCGGTCCCGACGCTCCTCGGACAGAGAAGCGCGTCCCACTGCTCGCAAATCAGGGGAAACGAAGAATGACATACGTAAACATAAAAACTCGGAGGTCCGCGCGGACCTCCGAGTTTTTGTGCTTATGTCACTCTTCGTTTCCCCTACAACTGGCCTGGAGCCGCCGCGTCGGATATACGGATCCACTGCACTGGGACGGGCAGGCGTGCTGCCGACCTCTTGCGAGCAGGCACCTCGCCGAGCGGCGGAGGGCGCGCCCGGTGAGCGGGGCAGCGGCGCGGCCCGCCCGACTCAGAGGCCGGGATAGCCGAAGCTGGAGGCGAACGCGTGCACCTCCTTCCTGAAGGGGCCCAGGGGCAAACAAAGGAATAGACACGAAATGATAGGATCCCCCATATGTTCCCATAGTGTCCGGGTTTTCGCCTTCCCCCCCTCACTTCCCACATTTTCCTGTATTGGGGGGCCACATGTGAACCCTACCCCTACCCCCCACGATTTTCGAGGGGGAGGGTGGGGTTCACTTTGTTCGGGAGCTCCCGAGCGAAGTGAACCCCACCCTCTCCTCAAAAATCGTCGGGGGTATGGGGTAGGGTTCACATGTGGCCCCCTATATATTTCCCTGGGAGTCGACGATTCATTGTGTCTGTGTGTTTCTTCCACTCCCGACTTCCTCAGCGCCGCGATGTCGGCGTTGCCCGCGAGGCCAGCCTCGAAGTCCTTCAGCTTCTTGCCCTTCTCAGCCTGGATCTTCAGGGCGATCTGGGGGGGGCCGGCAGGTCGCCCCCACCGGGGGCAGAGGGGGGGGGAGGAGGGATGAGGAGGAGGAAGGAGGAGGAAAGGAGGAGAGGAGGAGAGGGAGGAGGAGAGGAGGAGGAGGAGGAGGAGAGAGGAGGGGGAGGAGAGGAGGAGAGGGGAGGAGGAGGGGAGAGGAGGAGGAGGAGGAGGAGGAGGAGGAGGAGAGGAGGAGAGGAGAGGAGGAAGGAGGAGGAAGGGAGGAGGAGAGGAGGAGGAGGAGGAGGAGGAGGCAACGCTGCTGTCATGCGCGACAGCGCCCGTGACTGACCCTGGCCCCCGCCCACCTCCCCCCGCCCCTGGTCACGTCACGAGTCGCGCCGGCACCGTCCGAGAACTGGCCACTCCTGGGCATCCCCAGGCAGTCCCAGACGGTGTGGGTGCGAAGCGTGACGTGGCCACCCCCTCCCCCCCTCCACCCCCCTCGGTCACGCCCGCTAGCTCCAGGAGATATGGAAGAACAAGCTCGAATCACCTTCGGAAGTCCGCGCGGACTTCTCGGGTCGCCACGGGACCCCCTCCCCTGGCGAGCGGAGCGCGCCAAAAGCGGCGCGGGAGGGGTCGCTCGGCGGGCTTGGCGCCGATGCAAGAGAGCCGCGCAGACTGCGCTGCGGGCGTCCGCGTCCGCGTCGCCAGGATCATCACCCTGCCCTGCAATGAGCTCGCTGTCGCCACCCCCGCTGCGTGCACGCCGCCGCGCGTAGACATATGGCAAAGGGGCGCTCTAGCGGGAACGCCGTGCGTCCCCTGCACCCTAGGTCATCTAACTTCGCGCATCGCGCCCCGCGATGCGCGACGCATGGTTATCTTCGCGCCCTCGCGCCGCCGCCCTGGAGAACGGCGCCTCTCCGATCCGAGTCGCAATGCGCGAATCGCGATTTTCTTCGCGCCCCTAGGGGGCCCCTAGGCACCCCGAACTGGTGCAGCTCTGCCGACGGAAATCAAAAGGTACGGATACCGCTACTCCCCAGACCTCTCCAAGGGTGCGTCCTGACCCGCATTTCGAGGCGCATCCAAGATGGCGATGAGATCCCCCCCAGAGGCCGTGCTCCTCTGGCCTCCCCCCCCTCAACCTCCTCCTCCAAGTCCTCCTCCTCCTGCTCCTCCTCCTCCTCCTCCTCCTCCTCCCCTCCTCCTCCTCCCCTCCTCCTCCTCCTCCGTCCTCCTCCTCCTCCTCCTCTCTCTCCTCCTCCTCCTCCTCCTCCTCCTCCTCCCCCCTCCCTCCGCCTCCGCCTCCGCCTCCGCCTCCTCCGCCTCCTCCTCCCTCCTCCTCCTCCTCCTCCTCCACCTCGTCCTCCTCCTCCTCCTCCTCCCCGTGCCAATGGGGCGCAGGGCTCCTGTTTTGTAGTCGGGTGAGGCCCGTGCCTGTAAGGAGACCATCGATCTCCGAAGAGCACCTCACCCGAGCCTCCAGGAGTTACGCCACCGGGGCGACACAGGCAATCCGGTTTCAAATAGGGGTTCTCCCAACCCCGCTTGAAAATCGCCATGTCAAGCGAGCATATCAGGAGGCTGGACATCGTTTCCCGGCTCCTCCATACCTGACTTATGAATCTAGTTATTCTGTGGCATTCGCACGAGGTGTATTACCTCCACAGGGCAGTGCCCTGATACGGCTGTATGGGGGTGGGCCTTCCCCAGTCTTGCATTATTGAGAAGGGTAGTCTCAGGCAGTGTGTGCACGCGTTGGCCCCTCATGCCGGGGTTCCGTTCCCTCATGCTCTTACCCCTCATGTTGGGGCTTGCCCTTCATGCGCCGACACACCATGCTGGGCCCTTGGTCCCTCACGCGTCGACCCCTCATGCTGGGGCCTTGGTTGGCCCCTCATGGATTGACCCCCACATGCTGGGTCAGTGCCCCTTCATGCGTCGGGGCTTCGGCCCCTCATGCCCTGACCCCTCATGCTGGGGCCTTGGCTGGCCCCTCATGCGGTGACCCCCTCATGCTGGGGCATTGGCCCTTCATGCGTTGACCCCTCATGCCAGGGCTTGGGCGCCTCATGCCCTGACCCGCTCATGCTAGGGCCTTGGCTGGCCCCTCATGCGTTGACCCCCTCATGCTGGGGGATTGGCCCTTCATGCGTTGTTCCCTCATGCCAGGGCTTGGGCGCCTCATGCCCTGACACGCTCATGCTGGGGCCGTGGCTGGCCCCTCATGACCGCCCCCATGCTGGGGCATTGGCCCTTCATGCGTCGACCCATCAGCTGACCCCCTCATGCTGGGGCATTTGCCCTTCATGCGTTGACCCCTCATGCCGGGGCTTCGGACCCTCATGCCCTGACACCTCATGCTGGGGCCTTGCCTGGCCCCTCATGGGGCCCCCTCATGCTGGAGCATTGGCCCTTCATGTGTTGACCCTCATCTTCCCGTTCCAAAGGTTACCCCGAACAGGGCAGCCCCCTCCCCGTGTGCTACCCCTAACACGGGTACGGCAGGTTCGTGTCGTGCCGACCCCAGCGTTGGTTTTTGACACCGCAGGGATCGTTCAACCTTGAACGATCGGCCGCTGCCGCAACGTCCGATCGTTCAACATCGATCGATTCTGGGTCGCCGGCGGCGTTCAACCTTGAACGCCCGCGCTGGGGTCGCCGCTGGTCGACACGACGCAAACCTACCGTAGTCAGCTCTTTTCCACGCACGCGCTACCCTCACCTTTGCATGCATTGGCATGCATTGGCATGCATTCGCATGCGTTGGCATGCATTGGCATGCGTCGGCATGCATTGGAATGCATTATCATGCATTGGCATGCGTTGGCATGCGGGGGCATGCATTAGCATGCGTCGGCATGCACTGGCCTTCACTGGCATGCGTTGGCATGAATTGGCATGCATTGGCATGCATTGGCATGCATTCGCATTCATGGACATCCGTTAGTATATATTGGCATGCGATGGCATGCATTGGCATACATTGGCATGAGTTGGCATGCGCTGGCGTGCAGCAGCATGCATTGGTATCCTTTGGCATGCATTGGCATGCACTGACATGCATTGGCATGCACGGGCATGCATTGGCATGCACGGGCGTGCTATGGCACGCGTTGGCATGCGTTGGCATGCATTGGCATGCGTTGGCATGTATTGGCACGCATTGGCTTCCATTGACTTCCATTGGCGTGCGTTGGCATGCATTTGCATGCATTGGCATACATGTGCATGCGTTGGCATGCGCTGGCGTGCATTGGCATGCATTAGCATGCATTGGCATGCGTTTGTATGCGTTGCCGTCCTATAGCATGCGTTGGCATGCATTGGCATGTGCTGGCACGCGTTGGCATGCATTGGCATGAGTTGGCATGCATTGGCATGCGTTGGCATGCGTTGGTATGCGTCTGCATGCGTTAGCATGCGTTGGCATGCACTGACAAATGCATTGGCATGCGTTGGCATGCGTTGGTATGCATTGGCATGCATTGGCATGCGTTGGCATGAATTGGTATGCGTTGGCATGCATTGACATGCATTGGCATGCATTTGCATGCGTTGGCATGGATTGACATGCTTTGGCATGCATTAGCATGCATTGGCATGCGTTGGCATGTTTTGGCGTGCGTTGGCATGCATGCCCTGGCATGCATTGGCATGCATTGGCATGCGTTGGCATGATTTGGCGAGCGTTGGCATGCATTGGCATGCATTGGCATGAGTTGGCATGCATTGGCATGCGTTGGCATGCATTGGCATGCGTTGGCATGCATTGGCAGCCCTCCCCGCATGTTACCCCTAACCCGGCAGCCAATTCGTCCTTGTGGGGGTTACTAGCCAGGACGAAACCTCGCTAGCAACCCGTACTAACAGGCTGCGAGTTGGGGTGCAACCCAAGCAGACCTGGCAGTTTGGTCAATGATCCTCCTCCTGCTCCTCCTCCTCCTCCTCCTCCTCCGCCTCCTCGTCCTCCTCCTGCTCCTCCTCCTCCTCCTCCTCCTCCTCATCCTCCTCCTCCTCCTCCTCCTCTCCTCCTCCTCCTCCTCCTCCTCCCTTCCCCCCTCCTCCTCCCCTCCTCCCTCTCTCCTCCTCGTCCTCCTCCTCTTTCTCCTCCTCCTCCTCCTCCTCCTCCTCCTCCGCCCCCTCCGCCCCTCCTCCTCCTCCTCCTCGTCCTCTCCTCCTCTCCTCCCTCCTCCTCCTCTCCTCCTCCTCTTCCATTCATTTCCCTACACATAACATTTCCCTGTCGCACCCCGAGGCCAGTTTTAGGGCGGGCTGGGCGTTTCGCGTGAGACTTCCTCACCATTGATGGCTCTGAAACAAAAGTTTTACAAATGGAGGGCGGGTCGTTTTCAAAATGTGGTTCTCGCCTTAGCGTGGCGCATATTTCGACTTTTTCTACTTGCAAAAGCTCCACGGATTGAGGATCACCCGTTTTCAAAATGTGGCTCTCGCCTCAGCGCCGCGCAGATTAGTCTTAAACATTGCAGGAGTTGCACGGATTGAGGGCGAGTCGTTTGCAAAATGTGGCTCTCGCCGTAGCGCCGCGCACACTGGTTTGAAAAAATTGCAAGAGCTTCCGGGATTGAAAGCGGTTGCTTTTCCAAATGTGGTTCTCGCCATCACGCCGCGCACATTTTTTCACAATATTCACAAGAGTTCCACGGATTCCCACGATCAACGTACCAGAAATTGCGTTTGGGAAGGATTCTAAATTTTGCGGGCGCAACAATTACGTTGATTCGGGGTGAAGTCCTAAGAATTCCGATCTGGCAAGATACAGGATCGTCAAGACGCAACAGTCAAATTGATCCGTGGCGCTGGAATCCCGAGAACAATGTTTTGGCATGCTTCCGGGTCTTCAACGGTTGTCTTCCAACGAGGCAAACCCCTGAATGTAAATGAACCGCTGTAGGGGCCTCTGAAGAGGGAGCTTGGAGGGAGGTTGTTTTCCAACATCGTTGATGGCTCTTGGGTTTACACTGGTCCTCCTCCTCCTCCTCCTCATCCTCCTCCTCCTCCTCCTGCTCCTCCTCCTCCTCCATTCCATCTCCTTATAAAGAACTTCTCCCTGTCGCACCCCGAGGCCAGTGTTTAGGGCGGGCCGGGCGTTGCGCCTGATACTTCCTCACCATGTATGACTCTGAAGCTTAAAAGCTGACAACAGTTTTACAGATGGAGGGCGGGCCGTTTTCAAAATGCGGTTCTCGCCTTAGCGCGGCGCACATTCGTTTCCAAAAAATGCATGAGCTCCACGGGTTGGGGATCACCCAGCGCCGCGTACATCCGTCTTACACATTGCTTGAGCTTCACGGATTGAGGGCGGGTCGTTTTCAAAATGTTGCTCTCGCCGTAGCGCCGCGCACACTGGTTTGAAAAAAATGCAAGAGTTTCACGGACTGAACGCGGTTCCTTTTCAAAATGTGGCTCTCGCCTTGGCGCCGCACTAATTCGTTCTAAAAATTGGCAAGAGCTCCAAGGATTGAGGGCGGCTCCTTTTTTCAAAATGTGGCTCTCGCCTTTGCGTCGCATACGCATTCCTTTTGAATATTTGCAAGGGTTTCACGGATTCCCCTGATCAATGTACCAGAAGTGGTGTTTTGGAAGGATTCAGGACTATGAGGGTGTACAAGGTATGTTGATTCGCGTGTTCAATTCCCAAGAATGGCGGTCTGGCACGATTCAGGATCGTCAAGGCGCAACAGTCAGGTTGATCTATGGCGTTGGAATCCCTAGAACCATGTGTTGGCACGCTTCAGGGTCTTAAAACAGTTCCCTGAATAAAAATGAACCGCTGTAGGGGCCTATGAAGAGGGAGCTTTGAGGGAGGATGTATTCCAACATCTTTGATGTTTCTTGGTTTACGCTGGTCCTCCTCCTCCTCCTCCTCCTCCTCCTCCTCCTCCTCCTCCTCGGGAGCCTGGCAGCACCTGTCCAGGAAGCCCGCAATCTTCACGAAGTCGTCCGCGGTGCAGCCGCGCGTGGTCATCGCGGGGGAGCCGATGCGCACGCCGCCCGGCGAGAGCGCGGAGGCGTCGCCGTGCACCGCGTTGCGGTTGAGCGAGATGGACGCGCCCTCGCAGACCTTCTCCAGCTTGGAGCCCGTGAGGCCGTGGGGGCGCAGGTCCCACAGGACCAGGTGGTTGTCCGTGCCGTCGCTGGCGAGCTTGTGGCCCTTGTCCTGCAGGGTCTTGGCCAGGGTCTGCGAGTTGGCGACCACGGCCTTCGAGTACTCCTTGAACTCGGGCGTGGCCACCTCGAGCAGCTGTGCCGCCAGCGCACCAATCTGGTGGTTGTGCGGCCCGCCCTGCAGGCCTGGGAAGACGGCCATGTCGATGCGCTCCTTGATGTCGGGGATGGCGTCCGAGTACTTGAAGAAGATCATGCCAGCCCGGGGGCCGCGCAGCGACTTGTGGGTGGTGGTGGTCACCACGTCGCAGTGCTCGAACGGCGCCGGATGCTGCCCTGTGGCGACGAGGCCCGAGATGTGGGCGATGTCTGCCATGAGGAGCGCCCCGACCTCGTCGGCGAGCCGCCGGCCGCTCTGCGGCCATCGGGCGCGCGAGAGGAGTCTCCCCGAGGGGGGCCCCCACGAGGCCCCCGAGAAGGCCCGCCTGCGCAGGAAGGCGGCGCGGCTTTGGCAGAATCGGCCCCCCCCCCCACACCACCACACGCAGACGGCGGAGACCGTGGCAGCGGGTTGGACTTGACGGTGAACGACTGCAGCGGGTGCTTCCCCCCAGGCTCGCTGAGCAGAGGCTGGGTCAGGACCGCCGAAGGTGCGCGCACGCCGGGTTGCCACGCGGCCCCTGAGCCTACTTGCCCGCCGAGTGCGGCCAGGCACCTTCGGAGGCATCCCCTCGCAGGGGCCGGGCGAGGCGGGCAGAGTGCGAGGGAGGACCGGACCATGAGCCTGCACTCCCGAGCCAATGGTGGCGGTGGCGGAGAACAAGACTTGAGTCGGGCGTGTCCCCCTACAGGGGGAGTTTCGACGAAACATAAAAAAAAATACCCACGAAATGCTCCAGAATGGCATTCTAGAAAAATACTCAAAAGATAGTCCCCAGACTACTTTTTTGACTATTCTTGAAGTTTGCTTCTGTAGAGGGACAAGCCCGACTCAAAACAAGACCACCGCCGCTGCGAGAGGGCCCGGCCGCAGGCGCCTCCACGGCGCGCGCCGCCTGGCGCCCTCGCCCGACAGTGGGCAGGGCGAGAAAAGCGAGTCGTGCGGGCCGCCCGCAGCCGGCGGGGGAGGTCTGCACGTGTGGCGCGGCTCTCGGACGCGAACCACGCGGCACTCTCGCACAGCAGCGGGGAGGGCGAAAGCAACAGCTACACGTGTATCTCCCCTGTGGGGATGCCGGGTCCCGCCCGAGACGGGCGGCGGAGGTCTCCACGTATTGCTGGGCGCCTCTTCGAAAAGGTCTGCAGCATGGCTCACCCCGGAGAGGCCTGGGCAAATGACCCCAGAGAGATGTCCAGAAACACTTCGGTTACACTCGGGCAATGACAAGCGGAATAGCCCCAAACCTAGCAGGCCACACACACACACACACGCTTCAACCATCCAGCCAGCCTCGACGAAGCCGCAGCGAGCAGACAGCGAGCATACACGGTACGGTAGACGAACGACCGAAGTAGTAAAGGGGTCGGCTGATGCGGCGCTCGGCCTCGTGAATCTCGCGGAACTTGGCAAAATCGACCACCCTCGGGTAGGCAGAGGCTCCGCACAGGATCATGGCCGGCCGGAAGACCAGGGCTGTCTTGCGGAGCGACTCGAAGTCGATCAGGCCGGTCTCGTGGTGCACCTTGTAGGGCAGGGACTCGAAGTAGATCGAGGTGGCCGAGATCTTCTTCTTGGCGGTGTAGTAGCCGTGGGTGAGGTGGCCGCCGCTGGGCAGGTCCAGGCCCATGACGCGCGCGTGCGGCGGCAGGAGCGCCGTGTAGACCGCGAAGTTGGCGGGGCTGCCAGAGTAGGGCTGCACGTTAACGCCCCACTTCTTCTCGTCGAGGCCGAAGGCCTGGAGCGCGCGATCCTTGCACAGGTTCTCGATCTTGTCGATGACCTCGTTGCCCCCGTAGTAGCGGGCGCCCGGCTGGCCCTCCGAGTACTTGTTGGTGAGCGCGGAGCCGAGCGCCTCCATGACCGCCCGGGACGTGAAGTTCTCGGACGCGATCAGCTCGACGGAGCAGATCTGGCGCGCTTTCTCTTCCTCGACCAGCGCCGCCAGGGTGGGGTCCGCCTCCTTGAGGGTCCTGTTGCCAGGGAGGGCCGGGCGAGAGGCCATCTCTGCGGCGCGGGGCGCGGGGCTGCGGCGGCGATGAGCACTCGGCGGTGGGGCTGACCTCTCGGGCTGGAACAGCTGCGGAAACGGCAAGACCGGCCGAGGGGGGCTGCGAGGAGGGCGAAGAATGCCGTTGGCCATCACAAAAAGGCACGAGCCTCGAACCCGTAGCTGCCCAGGAAGCCTCTCGCAAGGAGGGTCCCCCAGCGTAGAAGTGGCCGGTTCGGCATCAAACTGGGAAGACGCTGTTCGTCCACGCATCATCCGCTCATCCCGTGAAGACTCCCAAAAGACTGGCCCCAAGAACTGAAGCGACAAGTCCAAAACTGCGGAATGCGGACTCCCCACTGCGGTATCGGACCAGCCAGCCTCCCATGGTGAGTTGGAGACCACGCGCGACCTGAGGGACTCTGACCTACGTGCAGCTTGCGCCCAGACCATCGGCGACGATGACGGCGACGACGACGACGACGACGACGACGACCACCACGACCACGGCCACGGCCACGACCACGACGACGACCCCGACCACGACGACGACCACGACCACGGCCACGACCACGACCACGACGACGACGACGACGACGACGACCACCACCACCACCACCACCACCACCACCACTACCACTACCACCACCACCACCACGACCACCACCGCCACCACCACCACCACCACGACCACGACCACGGCGCCGAACACCACCACAACCACGGCCACGGCCACGACCACGACCCCGACCACGACTACGACGACCGCGACTCCTGGAGCGCTCTCTGACCAGGATCTGCAGGCGAACCCCGTCGTGGGCGGGGAAAGCGCCCCCACAATGCTCGTCCACCTCCTCCTCCTCCTCCTCCTCCTCCTCCTCCTCCTCCTCCTCCTCCTCCTCCTCCTCCTCCTCCCCCTCCTCCTCCTCCTTTCCCTCCTACTCCACATCCTCCGTCTCCTCCTCCTCCTCTTCCTCCTCCTCCTCCTCCTACTACTACTACTCTTCTTCGTCTTACTAGTATTGCCATTATTGTCGGTACTCTTCGTCTTAGTCTTATTATTCTTAGCATTCGTAGTAGTAGTAGTATTCTTCTTCGTGGTATTAATCATCTGAGTGTGATTATTATTTTTGTTGGTAGTATTATTATTCTTACCAGTGGTACTATTACTCGTAATGTTGTTAGTATCATTCTTAATATGATTACTACTATGACTGCTCGTCTTAATATTCATCTTCGTGTTAGTAACATTCTCAATCTTCGTACTATCGTTATTCTTAGTATTGTTAGTATCATTAGTCCTGCTAGTATTGCTCCTTTACTTCTTATTAAAAGTATTAGTGCTTGTCTTCTTCGTTGTATACGTATTATTCATATTTTTCCTCCTCCTCCTTCTCCTCCTCCCCCTCCTCCTCCTCCTCCTCCTCCTCCTCCTCCTCTTCCTCCTCCTCCTCCTCCTCCTCCTCTTCCTCCTCCTCCTCATCCCTGCTGTTCTTCCTCCTCCTCCTCCTCCTCATCATCATCCTCATCATCATCAGCATCATCATCATCAGCATCATCCCCTGCCTCCTCCTCCTCCTCCTCCTCCTCCTCTTCCTCCTCCTCCTTCACTCACTCCGCCTCCTCATCCTCCTCCCCCTCCGCCTCCTCCTCCACCTCCTCCTCCTCCTCCTCCTCTTCCTTCACGCACTTCTCCTCATCCTCCTCCTCTTCCTCATTTTTTTCCCTCGGCTCAGGCTCCTCACAACCCATTCAACGAGCGACTTGTGAGCAATGGATCAAATAGGGATACCTAAAAGTATCCCCAACACTCCTGGCTCGGACGAATAGGCCAAGGAGTGCAAATCCTGGTCTCCTTCGGCCAAGGAAGAAACCCACGCCGAAGCAGACTGAGCTGCTTAGGCTTTTCAACAATGCAATCTGACTGTAACTGTTGGGACGCAACACTGCCAGACGCGTAGGACCCACAACGATTGCAGAAAAGTACGGGCGCCTGGTGCACGACAGTGCGCGAAACCATCCAAACGTGATCTCTCTGACGCTTAATTCGAAGTAAATTCTGCATGGACGAAGTGAGAGCACCGCACTTGGTACAGAAGCACTTGGTACACTGGACACATCTCCATCTGCGCCCATCCCACTTAAGGTCATGGGCGCGGGTTGGCCAGACGGGCGCGGGGCACGGGGGACTCGATCAAGCTGACCATGCAAATTCCGAGCAAAAGGCCAAGCTCTCAGCATTACCCCCATGGCCGAGAGCACAGCTAAAGTCTTTTCTTTCAAAGTGGTCACATATTCCAGATCGCTGGGCATGTGGAAAACAGACGCACCTCTATTAGCTAAAATGTCGGCCCAAGAATTCCCTCGAGTAACAAAAATGTCCCTGGGGTCTGTGAGGCCTTCAAGGGCACCATGGGCTTTGACCTTGTGGACCAGGAAGGAGCCCTTGATGTTGTGCTTCAGGAAACGCCAGATATCCCCCATAGTAGAGCGACCATCCCAAGCACGCGATTCAGGTGCCCATCCTTTGACCAAGGCAGCACAATCCGCATACACAACTGCTGGAGGCTGACCCTCGGGGATCCTGCAAGCACAGTGGAACAAGGCAACATGCTCTGCGCGTGACGCAGTCTGAGGACAGGCTGCTGGAACGTGTCCGAAAACACCTCTCACCAACTCGCCTGTGTCTGACACTTCTGCAATCCCCCATCCTGCCCGAGCAAGCACAGTGGAGGTAGGGGAGAGACAAGAGCCGTCCACAAACAGCGGCCTGTTCTGGTCGAACATGAAGGGCTGGACCTGCTCCAGCTCAGCATTGACAAAAATGGCGACTCTTCTGGGTCGATATCATACTCGACCGTGGGCCTGGCAATCCAAAGCCTGCTGAAAAGAGGTGAGGTGGGGCCTGCGGCCAGGGCCTCCTGCACAAGCTCCTCCTTTACCTCCTCCCTCCTGAGACGAGCCAAGAAACCATCTTCTCCTTCGCACCCCCAGCAACGATGCCAGACCGTGCCGGGCTTTCCGCAATACACACAAACGGGGCAGATCGCATAGCCCCAATTATGCAGCTTGCTGGCGGTAGGATAACTATTGGTGAAAACTTGTCGAGGATTTTGCTTTTCAACATGGCTGAACTTCTTACTGTTGAAGGCCTGTCTGATTGGTTCGCTCCAAAGTCCACGATCCCAATTTGCTTGACCCTCGGGTCCCACAAAGTCATGAGTGAGGC